TGAATCTGCAAAAAGTTGGATGAGTCAGGATTAAATAAGTGATCAATTGATTGAAATGAAGAAAAGATAATACAAGAATTAAGAAAAAATCAAAATAATTTTTTTTTACAAAAACAGGTACATGTATAATACTATGTAAGTCCCCCTTTTTGCATATTGGTTTGTCCATGATTTTGCTTGAAACGAATGAGAGATATTTTGAATGCCATTCTTTATTATCAAAAGTGAATACGTGTCATCTTATTCTACTTTTCAGTCTAGAATACATTGAAAAAAAATATGATGTAATGAATATCCTGTTGTCATTTTTGTCACAAAAATACGGAAATAAATCTTTGAAATTACTTATTCGACTTAAGAGTTTCCCAAAGCTTATTTCAAGCTATAAAATTTGGACCTTGTCTTTCTCAGAAAATTTTCATTTCCCGTGAATATAAACTGGTGCATATTATTTCCATTATATTAATTAATAGTTTTGTGCCTATAATGACTTTGTAAATCATTTTTGTCTAAATTCGTAAATTAGATTGTACAGCCGAAGTTTGGGTTTGTATACTACCTAAGAGGGTTTTATTTGATTATACTTTTAGATATAATCACTTTGTTTCTTTTTAAAGGTTTATAAGGCCTTGTTTAGCTGGATTCAAACTAGAAAAAAAAAAGAAACTGTGGCGAGTTTTCATATGTTTTAACTCCCGAATGATGATAAAAAATTAAAAAAATGCTTGATTTTTAATACTTTGTCTACTTACGTTATATCTCTTTTCTTAATGACAAATGTCACAACTCATGTCCATATATTTGATTTTCAAATGTTTTATCTGATTAATATAGAACTAATATTATTTGCCCAATATGTTTTCATTACTTTTAAGCTTGCTTAGCGGATTTTACCTGGCGATTTCAGAAATCAGATTGGGCGGAACAATTGAAGAGAGCAGAAATGTCCAAGACTGCTCAACTTGCTACCCAAGTATGAGCAATGTATATATTATGTTTACCTAACTTTGATTTATATTAAAGGTCCCATTTAGACCAGCTATCCATTTATGCCATGATTTTGGTTCTTTCTGCGACTTCTCTAACAAAATGAAAATGAATTATATAAAAAAGCAATGCCTTGTTGCCATGAATCAAAATTGAATCAACGATACATTAGTTTCGTTTTCCGGAATTTGACATGTACTCGGAGTGGTTTTTAGGTCATGCTATCAATATTAATATGATAATTATCATTAATACACAGTTAAAATATCGGGGCTTTATATGATTGCAAAAAATTAGCATTTTATAGAACCTAGATTTACGGCATTTTTTCTGGTCAGTTAAGCCCATCCATTCTTTATGTATAGCTCATTTTAAAGAAAGGATTCAATTAAAGTTATGAAACTTTACATGCTTTTAAATTTGATGAGAGCTTATCAATGGCATCAACTTTTTTTGAAATTGATCTTATCTTAGGCTTTGAGCTAAAATTTCTGTTAAGTTTATGACTACTTTCAAAGAAGCTACTCACAATTTTCTTTTTCAAATTTATGGTCGCTCGCCTGGCGCAGTGGTTAGAGCGTCTGCTATAAAGTCGCGAATAAGTCAATCCTTACGTCGCGGGTTCGAATCCCACTGAGGGACGTCGAGACCGGTCCTTCGGATGAGACCGTATAAACCGAGGTCCCGTGTCGCTGTAGGTTCTGGCCCGAAAAAGATCCCTCACTGCTCAAAGGCCCTGAGTGCCGAGCATAGGACAAAATTTGTAGCCATCCACCGGCAAGTAGTGGTGTCTCAATATGAGTGAAAAATTCTCTCGAGGGACGTTACACAACATACAATCTATCAATCAATGAAATTTATGAGTCAAGACCAAAAATTGCATGAAGCCCTTCACCGGTTTATGGTGGTGTCTCTTTCTCGAAAGAGTTAAAATTTCTCGAATGGGATGCAAAATAACATTCACTCATTTAATTAAATTCAGTTATTTGATATATAATAATGCGTTGACCTTCAATTCATCACTTAAAATACAGCTCTTTAAAATATGACTACCTATAAATAGATAAAAACTACTAAGATATGAGACCCACTGCACATGCCCCAGGTAAACACTATCTGTTCAATACATACTATCAATGACTTTCAATGCGAGCCAAACAGAGAAGACTTAAAAATTCTTTTAATAACAATTTATAGTAAATATACAACAGATTTATTCTATATAACAAACTTGAAAAATCTTATTCGTCAAGATCAGAATTTTGAGCAAATATGTCTCTTCCTCTAGTGCAACAGTTCATGTGAAAAACCATCAAACAAGAAAAATCAGAAAGGCGTACTGACGTCGTTTCGTTTAAGGTACAGAATTTTTTTATATACCTAGTGTGTATCACCCAATTTTAGTGTTGAATTTACGCTATCACGTGACTTCGTGATCCGATTTTCCGGATCACCAACATGTTGTTTTCTGACTCCATATCACTACTCTCTGAAACTGATGACGTAGTACGCAGAAACATGACGTTTTTCTCGCACATTAAAAAGTCCCTTGTTATAATGCTTTGTTTTATTATATTATACAATTGATCTCTTAAGTTTAATTTAGGTATATTTTGCTAGTTATGAGGGGGTATATAATAAATTTATCATTATAACAGTAACTTGATCCGAAAAGCCGTATCACGTCTCGTCGACAGGCGCGAATCATCAGATCAAACTCGATATTTCGCGTCTCGTTAGATCTGATGATCCGTGCCTGTCAACTCGACGTGATACGACCCTTCGGATCAAGTAACTGTTATAATATATATATATCCCCATACAACATATGTACAAAAATCAGAACTCAAATACAATGTATAAGGTAATTTTATATCAATTACACTATTAAGTTAAGGAAATATGAATAAACATATCCCACTGACCATATAAATGGGTAAGGATTGGAGGGAAATACATTATCATTACTTACTTCAATATCATCATATAATTTATATTTTATTTCGGGCGCCTAGCGCCCTCATAAAATCTTCAATTCTAATTAGTATTTCTTTCAAATATTATGCATGTCCATACATGCAAACTACTTGATGAAATTTTTTGATTATCATGACTTTTGATGACCTTGCTGTTACATGTAAATTCGAAATTCGAAGAATGTCAATGAAACTTGAAGCAAAATGATGAAGAGGGTGTTCTCCTTTTTTGTTTGGGTATCAAAAAGTATTTTAAAGATAAAAGTAATTTAATAATTTTTGAAGAACTTGTTGCCGGATGACTAAGCGTCTAATCCAGAATACTAAATTTCAATAAGTCAATAAAACCCAAGTCAAAAAATTTCAAATATGTATTCTATTACTAAAGTTAAACAACAATTCACTAGACTTCGTAGTAATCCTGCATGGTTCACACACTCCCTCTCTCGGAATGGGACCTACTCATGAAGAAACAATACACAATATTAAGTTACGAGTTATTACACAAATGGTTAACGATAATACATTAAGCATATTATAAAGCTTTTAGCATACAACAGTACTGCGTTTTTACATACACTTGCAATTAATTTTTCTTACAAAACTATACAAACACACTGAACACAAGGAACAATTACAGCATTCACAGAATATTAAACACAATTAAAAGCATGACATTTGAACAAAGTTATCCAGGACCTTAAAATTAACAAAACTGAATTAAAGAATAAATAAAACTCCTACTCCTAACTCCTGTATCGAATGAATCTGTACTTAGAAACTAATGAAAAAATAAACTGAAATTTAATTGGATATGTATGGAATTCATATTCACAGATTTATTAAAGACCCTTGCATGTTTTAGCGTAACACGGCAGAAAAAGAAAGTGATTTACTCAAACCGTGCCTGTTAAATAGCATTGAAGAACTGAGACTCCATAAAGAATAAAAAAAAGAGGTTCCCTATAGGATAACTGAGTAATAATTACAATAATAATAATAATAATAATTGTTTTTATATAGCGCTTTCCTAGCATAAATGCCTCATAATACATCATTACCCCAGCAGACCATAACAATCCAAAAGCTGCCCTTAAGGCGCTAGAACACAAACATTCTGACAATATCTTTCACTGTCTATAGCCAGGTACTCCTTTTACACTTGTTTGGTGTGAGGACATTCCTGTAAAGTACCTTTCCTAAAACACAACGTCGATTTGCCGCGGCCATGACTCGAACTCACAACCTTTCGGTTTTGGAGTCCGGCACCTTAACCACCAGACTCCGACGCCACAAATATTATGCAAATGTAAATAAAACATTCATATAGAGTAAATGTGACAGAAGCATCCAGGTAAATGATTTGCTAATTATTCGAGAACTCTGACAAAAACAGAAATCATCTTTTCCTTAAATGAATCAATCAATATTAGATTTTAATATCTTGACTAGTATAGAAGCAATGAATACATATAAACGTTTGATTAGCATCTTGTATCCTGTTGATTTACAAAACAAAATAGTTATCTTTATATATTTGACTCCTCCTTTTTCTGACCCCCATTTTGTTAACTGTGTTTTACTTTTCCGTCATTTACTTTAATAAATGACATATTTCACTTCAGCATGATGTTATTTGTTTTTGCCTGTTTATCAAAAAACAAGCTCAGTCGTTTGGCAGGAGGACTAAGGAACATAACTATAGTTATCTTTTATTTCTCTCCTCTTACATGTAGTGTCATCATCTAAAATGAATACCGTGTGTGGAAATTTTAGCGAGACGCAAATTTAGCGATTTGACCTGAAAAACAGGTAATTTATTTTTAGCGAGAAGTTATTTTAGCGATTTTAAAATGCACGTTAAAGAAATTAAATCAAATCAAATAAAATGCATTTAATTTTTAGCGATATTCAATTTTACGATTTCGACACCCTCGCTAATAATGCCAAATCAAATTCTCGCTAAAAATTCTACGTATACGGTACATCGCAATGATTTCTTCTTTACTGTCACTAAAACAGCAACATAACATTTTAAATCAAATTCAAATACACATGAAGATCATTCAGCATTGCAGAAATGAAGGCATAATCAAAAAGTCACTATGTCACAGAAAGTCTGCACATACTTTTTTCTATCAAACCATACACTTAAGTTAATCAAAGTGAGCACACTTTTTTGAACAAAATAACGAAAGTTTTAACAAATTCGTCGGCTGAACTCTACCTCTTATTTAAAGAATGTTTTAGCGTGTAAATTCAGTGAAATGCCCTGATGATGTCCTCTACAACAAAGACTGAAACGCACAGTTTAGTGTGATACTGTAATCCTAGTATCCTTGGAATCCTAGTCGTTTCTTTTGGATATTACCTTTGTGTGAGTACATCCCATAATTATCATTTCCATTTACCTTATCCTATTCGATAATTCGATCATGATAGCACTTTAATTGTATTGGATCGATGTGACATTTTCTTTATTAAGAAAAAAGGATAGAAAAATACAGCACAAAATAAAGCAATGAATCCCACAATGACTGCAAAAATCCAGTTAAAGCGCCATTTATTATCATATCTACAATGAAACAAAATAAAATGACTCAATACAGTTTTAAGAAAATTAATTATAATAATGTATACGAGGGGCGTTCAATAAATAATGTCATTGGGGCTCTAAAAGAAGCAAACGACGCTTTTCAATGATTTAGTCTTCATGATTTTACTTATTAATCTATTTTAATTCAAACACATGTCCGTAACATTTTTATCTATTTTCTGATTGTTTTTAGAACTCATATTTGGGTATGACCCTTAGTATACTGGAAAATGGCAGACCCAATGATTTCCTGGACTTGTTTTTTCCCTTTGAAAGGTGTTTTATTCAAGTTTGGAAACAGAAACAAGTCAAGATGTCAAAGATCTGGCAAATATTGTTAATGTGAAAAACATTAACTTTCTGTTTATCCCGTAAACCCCTTTACTCTTTAGGGCATGCGGATTTAAACGCTGTCATGAAGAAATTCAATGCAGTGGATTCCTGATTCTGGGTCCTTTCTCTGATAAACCTTTCGATTTTGTTTGCAAAAACAACTGCTTTCTAGACACCTCCAGATATTAAACTGTCTCCCCGAATACGAATTTGAACAATAATACCACTTATATTTAAGAAAACTGCATATAAATCTGCTTTTGTGCTCTTGCATACCTTTGCTCTTGACAGACCTTCGCCGTTTTTATCAAGTACATCTAATGGTAAATTCTGTTTTATTGGTTCTAAGCAATAGATTCATGTTCCAATATCTGTTTGAATATGACACAAACGTGGATTATGAAAATTACTGATATTTTAAAATAATTGTTAAGACTTTTGTACACGCTGTCGTTTTCACTAATTTTTCAAAATATAGGCTGACCTTAGAGTACCAAGCTTAATTACCGTCAAACGTTTCTTCAAAACAGTGTTAACTATTCCCGATATGATGTCTATCAAATTTTCTATGTGTCTTAAAGTCAATCATACAACATCAAATATTATTTGTTGAAATTTGGCAAACAGTACATAAGTTGTTATAATTTTTGTTGGCAAGGAGGGTACCCATTTTTGATGCCCATTATATAAATTTTTATATTTGAAATCCACCTGCTAATTTGTCTATAAAACAGGCATCGGTTGCTGTAAATTTCACATATTTCAGTGAATATTTCTTTGGGATTTTAACAAGATTTACAGCAGCTTTAATGTTGCTTTTATTTTCACTCTCGTTTACAGATTCTTTACCATTCATTTTTAATGCAGTGTATCGAGTAGCCCTTGTTTCCCAGCTTCTCAGGATAAAACTATGTGATGAAAAGTGGTCACATAAACTGTTATAAATTCATTAAAGATTCAATAATGAGAGAAAGTCAAGCTTTATGTTATATGACTACTATGTTGTATGTAATCGAGCTAATGACATTATTTATTGAACGCCCCTCGTATTCTATATACAAATGTAAAACTTTTAAAATGTACATTTGTGAACATGTGGGTAAAGCCAAGCATAACTTAAAAAGTAGAAATTCACGGACCATATCGCTAACCCGAAGAAAAGGTTACAAATGCATATCCTTTGGACGTATGGTCGTTAATGATTCTAATGTTCCTGTAATCGGGTTGATGAGGAATGTCTACGCGTATGATGTTAAGTCGTTTAGAATTGATGTCTTTAGCTTTGTGACCATGGTCATAACTTTTTAACTTTTGTTGTTTTGTTGTTTTGGCTTTAAATTTTACATAACAATAACATGCGAATTCCTTGTAACGAACCTGACCTTACTTTTGGTACTTATATGTATCTTTTGTCTTGAGATTTGACCTACTTATTTAGGAACAAAGTAGAATTTTCACTTTGCTTTATTTTTGAATATGAAGTGGAATGTATTTGTCTTTTTCTGTATCCCTTTAGCCACGGCCTTTCTTTGGGTACTAGTGTTAAAATTTCTCACCATTTGACCTTGACAGAGAAGTTTGACAACTACTCAAATTTTCAAATCTTGACCATAAATTCGAAGCGATTGGTTCCAGAGTTTTTAGCATTCACATATCCGAATCCCTAGGAACTGCATTTGGGCTACAAGTTACAGGTTTACCTACAGTTTTATTACATAGAGAATAATACTTACCCTTTTCCGTATCACATCCTGTATCAGCCGGAGACACCAATATCAGCCAGAGGGCCGAAAGCCCTCTGGCTGATATTGGTGTCTCGGGCTGATACAGGATGTGATATGGAAAACGGAATGTTTTATTACATTTATTACATACTTAGTAATAAAATACAGATCACATTAAGTTGAGAAGAAAATAAGTAAATATTCATTATTAAGACAATCTATAAGCTTTTTGACATGATCTTGCACTGAAGTTAGAGAAATCTGGCACTGAGGTTAAAAATACAGCAACTTCAAGATTATCGAAATTTGTAACCCAAAATAGCATAATTTTAAACAAAAGGACTTGTAGCTGAGTTTAATACTACATATATGGTAATCTCAGTGCCAATCATGTGGAAAATCTTAGAAATTGTTTTCATCAGCAATATCAGTGGATATCAACGATTAAAAAATGCAGCTACTTCAATAATATCAACATTTGTATCCCAAATTGCACAATTTTACACAAAAGGTATTAGTAGCTGAGTTTAATTCGTACGATTTCTTGTTTACCTCAGTGCTAAATCATGTGGAAAAGCTAAGAGATTGTTTTTGTCAACAATATCAGCGGAAATCAACTGTGTAAAAAGCCAGCTATTTCAAGAATATCAACATTTGTATCCCAAGTTTGCATAATTTTACACAACACTTACTAGAAGATTCAAGTAATATACTAGTAGCCAGTTACAAGTAGCTAACTTTACTTACTTGTAGCCAGTTACTACTACCAACTTTACTTACATCTCATAGCCAGCCACTATTGCCAACTTTACTTATTTGTAGTAGCCTGTTACTAGTATCTTTTCAAACAACATGAATCGTAAGCAGCACAATCATGAATCATAAATTTATATTCTAAAATTAATGAAATCTTAAAAGCCGAGGAAATAATTGTAGTAGAATGATAAGCAAACAACAATCTTATATGTTGATTATATAATTAATAATAATAAAAAAGCAACAACAGGATATTATTTGCTGATCAAACAGAATTAAAAAAAAAGAATTAGAACGGAATACCGGTATTAAAATTCAGAAAATCTTTCTAAGGAAATCTTCAAAAAACAATTTTAAAGAAATCTCGCCTAAATCATATAATTGGTTTCGTTCAAGGTCAATATTTTTATAGACAATAATTCCTGACATACGTACACTTGAAGATTAGAATTCTCTTCTCTTGTAAGCAATGAACTTTGTAAGAATGTTGTGGAATCAAGATGTTCAATTTGTCTCTCTTCCTTATCATCGTGGGTCAAAATGTTTTCAACCAATGTCTCAGTTGTGATTTCATAACATTCCTGATCTAAAAAACAAGTACTGTATACTTAAGAATTGTGAATAATTATTGAGACATAAAGTATTGAATTTAATTTAAAATACCTATTTAATAAAAAAAATATTCTTGGCGTACTGGAGATGAGGTTAACGATTTTATCAGCCATTAAGAAATTTTAACAAGGCTATTATTACCAGTAACCAGCTGGCATAGATCAAAAAGAGTTTTTTCCCCACAGTCAACTCCTTTGGGGGTCTTTTTACCAAGATTTTGCATGTTTATTATTGTATCAACAGATACCCATCTGCATTGTCTTTCATCTTTTTTCATATGTTTACTATTAAAATTTTCGATGATTATGCCTTCAAATATAACCCTTTTCTTAAATCATAGCATAATTATGTAAACTGAACTTATTTCTTAGCCATTTTTTTTTTCACCAGTTTTGAAAGTTATAATGCAATAATAGTTTTCTATACTGCACTTCTCTCCATTATACGGTATATCATTGTCCTTTGTATTCGAAACATTATCTTCAAAATTTGATACCATAGGACATTCCTTGCCCTAATCACAAGACGCATTAATATTCACCAATAAGGCATGATGACTATTCTTTCTATTATAAAGCATCGAGAGTGTTTCGTTTGCCTTCTCAATCTGAATTTGAACATAAAAAAACAAAATATCATGTATATGTACACTTAATTACGTGTGCTACTTTTCATTTTCTGTTATAATATTTCATACAAGGCCTTATCGTATTCAGCTATAGAACGAGGGTTGTCCCTAAATTCTGTAGACAAGCGTTGTTTTGTAGAAACACGATGTCATATAATAATGAGATTCCGTACGTAGATTAAACCAACACAATCTACTGAATTGATGGACACATACTAGCATTGAGTATCTACACAAATAGTTACCATATTTATATAACACATTTCATTGACTGGTGTAGGAGGGCGGCGTATAACCCAAAGGTTGCAATTAAAAATCGGTTTATAGATTTTAAAATAATTTTTTTTGATGACTGAAATGGTTTTTCTAGTATGTGAAAAAACGGAAACTATTTGTCTGTTTTTACGTTGTAGATTGCTCCTTGTGTTAGAAAACGATAGCATTTCAAATCTTATTACTCAAAATATTTTCAAGTAAACATGATAAAACTTAGTAATTTATCTGCCAAGAACATGCTTTATCCACCTTAACATTTTTATAAAGATACATCAATTTGTTTTTTGTCTCCTGCCATGTTACTCACATTTGTAAATATCCGTTGAATTGTAAACTTTTGGACAAGGAACAGTGAATTTCGTGCAATCAAGAAGAAAATTCTCTTGTATAAGATCTCCAACTGTATTGTATTCTGGACAATGGCCTTCAAAAGGACAATTAATTTATATGTAGTATGAAATAACATTTTCAACACCTCTCCATTAAATGATAGCATGAAGATGAAATTGAAGACAATAAAGCAAAAATATAAATGCAAAGTACAAAATAGTGGGGTTTTTTTTTTACCAATAATTACGATAGATGGTGCACACACTTCTATACAGTTATCTAACCACTCATCTTTCAAACAATGATAGTTGTATATATTTTCATAACTCCTTGACATTAATTCACATCTTGATTTTTTTACAGCTCTCTCCCACTCTTGTTTATTTGATGGACATTTCTTAACGCGTTTCACGAATTCATTTGGCTTGGTATATCCTCCTAGACACTGAATAAATGAAAAAATAAAATGATAGATAAATAAATGATTAAGTAAAAGTATAAACATTATATATTGGCTGTGGAAAAAATATTTTGCTCAAATAAGACATGCATCCAATCATATACTGAAACGTAAAAGAAACGCAAGAAGCAGTAATCTACAAATGTTTGAATTTTGTATCTAATAATTATCAAAAAAAAAAAAAAAAAAAGAATAGAGTAAGGCTAAACTCACTTTTCAGAACATCAGAGATTTGATAAAAATGTTAAATGTTTATCTTTTAACTTTACTAAGTAACATATAATTATGACTGTAAAAACACGCGACCCCTTCCAGCCTTTCAATTACATGCAAGAATGTCCTTGAAAATAATTGCATCTTAATTTCTACGATACAATAGGTTAACCAATATCGAGATCTGAGCAAAGGAAATATTCTTTGCCATTTTTAACCCCCTTCCCCGCAGTAACGCATTTTAACGCATATACCGTTTCCTATTTCTAACGGAAAATCACGCATTTACCGTTTCCCCGCAATCACGCATTTTCACGCACTATAAAAAGTTCATTCAATCTTCAATTCATTGCCAAATTACAACTATTTTATACTTGCTTAAATCTCATAAAACAAGAAAAGTAATTTTCTAATTAAAATATTGCGTCATAATATAATTTACGCTAAACTTTAGAGAAACTTGTACCCCGCTGTAAAGTGCTTGCGGGGAAATGGTAACATTATATATCTATGACGCGAGGATTCGGTGTATGTTGCTAAACAATTCAATAAGTTGTAAAGAGTTAAATGCCATTTTTTCAGATGATTATGTAGAATTTTTTCTAACTAAGCGCATTGTATTTACCCTTGGACATCCGGTCCAAGTGCTTTCATTTATTTATATGATACTTAAGACCCCTTTGAGGCGCAGTGTAGTATATATTTGCATTCATCAACTCTCCATCACCTTTACTTTGAGATTTTCCAGCTAGAGCAATGGAAATGCGTTCTAAAGCCATTTTCAAGAAGCCCCAGCATCGTTACAAAACAAAAGGAGATTTTATTTTTTGAAATTTTGCTGCATTGCTTAAGATGAACAGTACAAACCCTTTAAACTCCATAATATTGCCAAATGTTTTGTTAAACATAAAATTTTTGATTTATGTTAAGCAGTCTCAAACTTGACTTCCGGTTATGGTCTGAAAATTGTTCAACCGTAAAATTACCAATATTTACCAAATTGAAGATATTCATAATTATAAGATACAAAATTCTTAATTTTACATAATTATTTTCCCCTAAAGTAGCATGTTGCGTTTCTTTTGCGTTTCAGTATATATTTTAAAAATGCCCATGTATATAAGAGTCGTATATAATAATACTGTATTAACGTTAACATGAAATTCATTCTAAAAGATTTAATGTCAACAAATAAAGTCTTTTTCTTTACTTACGCTGCATAATATAATTACAAGCCATAGCAGATCCTGCATCTTGATGTAGAACAAGCGGCTAGAATGACACAAATCATGACGCCTAAAGTATTCAAACATCACTTTGTTGTCAGTTAAACAATACCCATACACAATACTTTGATTAACATGCCTTAAAAATTTATCGAACCCTAGCGGAAGTTGAAAAGCCTAGAAATTATTCAACTTTTCCCTCTTTAACGGTAAACATTTGAAAACAGGTCTCAATGTAAACAAATATTCCTATCACTAGCAAAATAAAGAAAATGACACTGATCCGATATATGCTGATCATAATAATTTTTATTATCTAGTATGAAATACTATTAAAATTATTGCAATTACACGCAATATTTCGATTAAACGCAATAATTTTGCGATTAAATGCATACAATATTTTTGCGATTAAACGCATATAATATTTTTGCGTTTAAAGGCAAATGTTTTTGTGTTAAATCACAATAATATATATTTTTTTGCATTTAAACGCAATAATCCTTGTGTTTAAAAGCATTCATTTCTATTGATCTTTGAAGAGTGCAATGGACCAACGCTGATATTTTTAGCTCACCTGAGCCGAAGCCTCAAGTGAGCTTTTCTGATCACATTTTGTCCGACGTTCGTCTGTCCGTCCGTCTGTCTGTCCGTATATCTATCTAGCTGTATGTCTGTCTGTACACTTTTAAGATTTTTGACTTCTTCTCCAGAACCGGCGAGTTGATTTCAACCAAATGTGTCCTTGGGTGAAGGGGATTTAAGTTTGTTTAAATGAATAACCATGAATTTATTCGAGGGGAGATAATTCAGAAATAGTGAAAATTAAGCGATATCTTTTAAAAATCTTCTACTCAAGAACCACTGTGCCAGGAAAGATTACTTATAGGGAAGCATTCTCAGGTAATGTAGATTCAAATTTGTTCAAACCATGACCCCCTGGGGTAGGGTGGGGCCACAATGGCCGATCAAAGTTTTACATAGAAATATATAGGAACATTTCTTTAAAAAACTTCTTCTCAAGAACCAATGTGCCAGGAAAGATGAAACTTATGTGAAAGCATTTTCAGACAGTGTAGATTAAAATTTGTACAAACCGGCCGGTCAAAGTTTAATATAGAAATATTAAGGAAAATTCTTCCAAATTTTTAACGCAAGAACCACTGTGCCAGGAAAGATGAATCTTATAGGGAAGCATCTTCGGGTAGCGTAGATTCAAATTTGTTCAAATCATGACTCCAGAGGGTAGGGAGAGGCCACAATGTCCAATCAAAGTTTTACATAAAAATATAAAGGGAAATACTTTAGAAAAAAATTATTTGGAAGCATCGTCAGGTAGTGTGGATTCTTGTTTCTTCAAATCATGAAACTTGGGGGTAGGGCGGGGCCACAACATAGAATATAAGTTTTACATAGAAATATGTAGAAAAATTCTTCAAAAATCTTCTCTTCAAGAATGGCAAAGCCATGATTAGTCATATTCACATGGAAGCATTATCAGGCAGTGTAGATTCAAGTTTGTTCAATCATGACCCAGGGGGTAGGGCGGAGCTACAATGTAAGTTTCAATGTAAAGGGCAAAAAAGTCACAGGTAGGAAGAAAGATGCAAGCATCCTCAGTTAGTGTAGATTCAAGATTATTCAAATCATACCCTCTCCTCTTTAAGGATAAGCTGGGACCACTTTTGGGTTTAATCTTTTTAATAGTAAATTGATTTCTGCTTTTACCAAGCTACATGCTCAGGTGAGCGATGTGGTCCATGGGCCTCTTGCTTTCTTTCTTCTTCTTTATTTCTGTACCTATGAGATATTGTTTTGCTTTGTAGAATCATATTCTTCTGAACAAGCATTTTCTGATTGGTTAAATCATTGGTAGGAATTTAAAGAGGAGAAAGAATTGTCTGTCTGTATAAACAAAGACAACCTAAGAAAGAAACAAAGCTTCAGCATGTATATATATATATATATATATATATATATATATATATATATATATATATATATATATATATATATATATATATATATATATATATATATATATATATATATATATACATGTATCTATGTTCCTGATTAAGTTTTGGTAAGTTGCTTACAAACACAAATGACATTTCCTATATTGTTTTCTCTAATTTAAAACTTTAAATCTATACAAACAATTTTAAAGGATTTTCGAAATTAAAGACCGGAAAAGAAATAATGATGGATATATGAATCCAGCCATCACGCCAAAATTTAACCGGGGAACTTAGTATTTTGCATAGAAATGGCGCACATTTATACAAAACGTGGAATTCTGGAGAAAGGACCCATTTGGCAAATAAAAAAGAGGTACATTGTAATAACCTGCTGATATGGACAGGACCTATCAGATGACGAAATTTAAAAACCAAGTGAAACTAAAGTCATTTTTTTTATTTAGGAAGTTGAAACATTTGCATTTTGATAGCTAGAACTTACAGAAACACAGCAACGATATCCTCAAATTGAAAAAAAAGCTCTAGCAATTATTTATGGATGTATGGATGTACAAAATTCCATGCTAGAGTATTTGGTCACGATGCACTGGTTGCATCGGAACATATTTCTTTGGAAAGTATCTTCAAGAAATCAGTTTCATGTATAATTCCATGACTACAAAGATTTGTGTTAGCTCTTAAAAAGTATGATTTTCAAGAAGTTTACAAACCTGGAAAGACAAGATGTGTTTGCAAAACACTGATGCTACCGTATGGCAACATAGTAAAGATTAAACGTTTTTAAAATGCAAATTAAATTTGCCAATATATTGGCACCCAAAGTAGGGTCTCCAAACTGGAAATACAATTGTGAAACATGAAAGCACTATAACCATCTGTTCCCAATTATGGCCAGGCTAAAGTCTTTTCAAAAGTACAGAAATCTTCAAGACCAATGTCAGAAGGTCAACATGGTATTTCCACAAAGAACACATGTGTGAAGTATGGAAGCCTTAGCTCTTACCATTCGAAAGTTATGGCCAGGGTAAAAAGATTTTAAAAGTAATTCAAACTCCAAGATCAAGGTCAGGAGGTCAAAGTTATTGGTATTGAATGTAAGGTCATCTGAAAAGAATTACATATGTGAAGTATGAAAGCCCGACATTCTAGCCCTTATTCTTGAAAATTTATTGTCATGGTTAATACTTTTTTTATAAGTCCGGAAATATGTAAAGTCAAGATCAAAAGCTCAAGATTATTGGAATCCAATAAAAGTACTTGCCACGAAGGATACATTTATGAAGTATGGAAGCCCTAGCCCTATCCGTTCAAAAGTTATTGCAGAGGTTAAATTTTTTTTCAAAAGTCCAGAAATCTCCAAGGTTTAGGTCAGGTCTTTGGTATGCAATGAAAGGTCTTTCCATAAAAATACAATTTTGAAGTATGGAAACTCTAGCTTTATCCGTGCAAAAGTTATGTTCAAGGTTAAACAAAGTTAAAAGTAGGTCAAACTATAAGGTCAAGGTCAAAGTAACTAAGGTCTTGTTATCAAATGAAAGATTTGTCACAAGAATTAAATACATAAAGTATGAAAGCACTAGCTCTAACCCTTTAAAATATATGGTCAATGTTTGTTTTTTAAAAGTAGATCAAACTCCAAGATCAAAGGGTCAAAGATATAAGTATCAAATTAAGCGTCTTCTTATACTGATTACATATGTAAAGTATGAAAACTCTATCCTTTACTGTTCAAAAGTCATTGCCAAGATTAAAGTTTTTCATTAGAACGTAAATCTCCAAGGTCAAAGTCAAAATATCAAAGTTGGTGTTATGTAATTAAAGATCTTGCTATAAAAATATATATGTGAGCCATACCGTTTAAAAGTTATGGTCAAAGTAAAAATGAAAAATGTTTGTGTTTAAGTGGGTCAAACTCCAAGGTCAAGGTCAAAATGTCAAAATTGGTGGTACCCAAAGAAAGGTCTTGTCACAAGGAATAAATATGTGAAATATAAAAGTCATAGCTCCACTTAATCAACAGTTATAAGCAAGTTTAAAGTTTTTGCGGACAAAAACAAACAGAGAGACTGAGAGACAGACAGACGGACAGAGAGACAGTGAGACAGACAGACGGATAGGACAAAAACTATATACCCCCGAAATTTCGTTTATCACACTGCTCAACGCGTTATCGGCAACTCGGTTGTTATCGGACACTCGGTGCAGGAAAAAACAAATCAAAGAAAACGTAGGTGACTTTAGATTTCTTCATTCAATGATAATTGTGTACTTCTGCAAACAAAGTTTGTGATCTTTGGCAGATAAATGATAATACTTTCAGCGGTAAAAAGCACGATCCAAATCACACTCTTTCAAAATATCTACAGCTCTGTAAAATGAAATTTAATAAAATTTTCTGAATATGTCAACATATTTTAGTCTTTGTAGAGGTCAGAATCAATTTGTTTTATAAAATAAAGTGATTTATTAACTATATGGACAATCATTAACCTTTAGATAAGCAAACATATATCAAAATTCAAATTATGGTTTATTTTACGGGCATTTAAAATGTTTCGTTGGGCAAAACATGTTATCGGAAACACGGTTGAAGTTGCCGGATAATTCGGTTTTTCACAGGTGCAGGTTATCGGAAACCTAGGTTAAAAAATTTCCGTCTGTTTTAACAATAAGTTTTTAAAAAGACGAAATTCCATTATACTCTGTGGTCAAGGTTTTCAGTTCTTAAAAAATAACAATTTGAATTTCAGCAAACGAAGTTTGTGATCTATGACAGATACATTTAATTGATTATACTTTCAGCAGCAGAAAGCACAAACCGAATCAAAAGATCTACATCTCTCTCAGATAATATTTTATTTTTTTTAAAAAATTCGGATTATGTCATCACAATTTAACTTTTGTAGACTTCAAATTTAATTTATTCTATCAAACTGGTATATTTATTCAATTGACAATCAAATATCTTTAGATCAGCAAACTGAGATGAAAAATCTTAATTAAGGCTTAGAAAATAGTCATTTGCAATTTCTCGTTAGTTGAATACGTAGCCGGATAATTCGGTTTTTGAAGGGTGTACAG